AGGGACATGACAAAACTAACATAAAGAATACACTTTCACTATTAGTTTCCTAGACATGACACACTGCAGGTAATTATGGACCCAGGTCTGCCCGTTAGCTAGCTGCAGTGTTGGTACATAATGTGTATGTCAGTTTGTATGTGTGGCAGTATGTATAAGGGCTTTGTGTGTGTGTGTGTGTGTGTGTGTGTGTGTGTGTGTGTGTGTGTGTGTGTGTGTGTGTGTGTGTGTGTGTGTGTGTGTGTGTGTGTGTGTGTGTGTGTGGCTTTTCATTAAAAACAGAGAGCCTGGCAGACCGCTGCTTTAACGTACGTCCCCAGAGGCGGCCTTTTTTCCACAAGCTCAACGCAATCAATTTGCCAACCTGGAATGGAGAGAGATGGATGTGAAATGGGTGGACTGAAGGATGGATGCTAACAGGGCGGGTGAGACAGACAGGGACTGAACCATGGCAAACAGGATTAATGACAGAAAACTCCACTTGTAGAAATCCCTTCACTTTTGCCAGGAAGCCTTTTGTGGGCAACAGGGGAGCGTGGAGGAAAGTTAGAGGAGCTGGAGAATAGAGGAAGGATGAGTACTGACGGATGACACCAAAAGTGACCTCTTTCTGTTCGCCCACCATCACTAAAGTTATGTCACTCAGTGTGTCTAGTGTCGGACAGCCACTTGTAGTAAAAGCTCACACAATTATTTTGTATGAGTCTCATAAACCCCTATGTTAAATGAATATGTTTAATCGCAAACCTTACTGATAGAAAAGATACATCTCTTTTTTAATGTGCAAGGTTTTTGACCGTGTTAATCTGCATTGGCTGTTCCGGTAAGTTCAAATCAGCTACTGTAAAGCATTAGTGTAGCTCTCTTCCTAAACACACCGTATAGCAGATTGTGGCAAAATGTTATTGACAGAAGCCCATTAAAACCTCATTACATTCCCAGCCATACAGTAACAGCAGCACATTGCGGCCAAGTAAATTATGCTTTAGCTTGCTGTTGTGGTTACAGGCCTAATGGAAAATCATAAAATCCTTTCAGCCCTGGGAGGATTGTAAAGTGATGGCGAGTGTCGGCTTATCACAATTCATACTCAACCCTTGCGATAAAGCATGCTATGGGACTGGAAATGCACCAATGTTGTGTCAAAATGTTGTAAAAATTAAGAAAATGGTTTTGATTTTGTAAGTAATATTTTAGTTCTGCTCAGAATTTGATCACCCTCTTGTTGCATACCAATGTTGAGGTCTCAATGAAAACATCAATCAGCAATAGAAATAAAAATCTCTCAAAATCTGTTATGTCATAAAATAGTGTATTCATATTTTACATGAGAGCTATAGAAAGAGAGAAAACCATTGATTTGTGAGTAGCATAAAGTGGTGTCTCACATGACTTCTTCAGAAACTCCAGTTTCGCTGTGACAGCCGCGATTGGCTGGCAAGTGTTAGGGTTGAGGAGGGGTGCAGACTATAATTTGGGTTAACACCACTCCACCAGTAAACTCTTGGTAAGATGCTAACTAAGATAAATATAAATAAGTAAAACATCTGCAGCTGACAGGCCTACTGAAAAGACTAAACCTAGTGAAGCCCCCTCTTGACCCGGCCCATGAGGGGGTGAGCCCTCTGGTGGATAAGGATTAACATGTCTGCAGTAAATAAACTAGGATTTAATACAAAATGGCTTGGATTTGGAAATCCCTGTTTTAATTTCCCAGGCACCCAGCTGGAAAAACTTGGTGGTCGACGGCGTAGTATTACAGTTTTCTTTTAAAGGTCCCCTATTATACTGTTTTCATCAATATATTATAGGTCTCAGATATATACAAAACATGTCTCTGAAGTGTTTGGCTCCAAATACCAAACAGATCATTGCAGCATCCTATAATCCACAAGTGCTGATTCTCTGTCTGTTACTTTAGATGAAAATAAGGAGCCACTCCCCCCGCCCCTCTGCAAGATATTTGGTAAAAAAAAACACACTGGTGCTCAAGGAGAAGATTCAGGTGATAAGGTGGGGGGGGGGTTACCTTGGTTGGTGATTGGCTAATGGTTACACAAGCCAAAAAATCGTTATGACATCATAAAGTGGCCAACATCTGATCAGCTCATTTCCAGACAGGTTTTTATATAAATGGATCAGGACAAAAAGAGAGTGAATCTCTTTACACAGAGGGCACACATGTGCATGTATAAAATACATGAAAAAGTGGATTTTGCACAATAGGTGACCTTTAATAGAGTGCGTGAAATTCAGAGCATCTTGTATGTGTGAAGGTGGCATGTACACAGATGATAATTCAGCTATTGTGTAAGAGTGACTGTTTTTCTTTTTGTTAGGCGCACCGCACTGTCCACGTTATTGTTTCTAATGTAACTTCATGTTTTATGAATAACAGCATGTGGGGGCAAGGCTGATTGGCAAATTAGAGGGTTTAAGGACATCCATTTCTGTCTTGTGACTCCCTATAACAAAAAATGTAGAGAAAAAAAATCTAACATTTAAGAAACATTTTAAATGAGTATTTTTTTTACGTTCAAATGTTTCCCACTTTACTATCCTGTTTTTTCCATTTGGTTTAGAGCAGTGGTTCTCAAACTTCTTCTGTCAGGCCCCCTCTTTGGAGAAAAAAAAAAGTCGGGCCCCCCCAACACAAGTCAGGCTCAGTGGCGGCGCCAGAGATTTATTTTGGGGGTGCTGTGGGGTAGCTTGATGTTTCATAGAGGGTGCTCAAACATTTAGGGTTTCCCATGTACCGGTCGTTACAGTGGAATTTTCTACTGCAACAATCCCCACGCAAACACAACGTACTGTTACAATGAAGGCTTGATAATCAGCTCACGGCATATAGGTGTTAGCAGGGGTAAAGTGCTATTTTTATAGGTGGTGTGTGGACCTAACCTCCTCTAGGGGGGTCCGGGGGGATGCTCCCCTGGGAAGATTTATTTTTAAATATTGAAGTTAAATGCATCAATCTGGTGCACTTTGAGAGCAACATGAAGAGATCTATGGATACATCTCTCAACACCCATATGAAACACAACTGTAAACAGATTTACTTTTTCTTTATGGATATTTTACAAATCACTCCCCTTTTAAACTCTATTCTTGTTTTACTGTCATATAGTATTTCATACCTGTTTTTCATTTATTCTCTTATTTTTTTATAACTATAATGATCATATAAACGTGTGCCTCAGAAATAATTGTTTACATTAATGGTGACCAAAAGGTTTGAGACCTGAGATAATACTGAGAGAGTCCTTTAGCTCACTGAGTCTCTCAGTCTGACAGGAGAGGACTCTCCTCCACTTTGTTGTTGAAAAAAGTCCTTATATCCGTTAGCGTAGCTCGATAGCACCAGAAGCTAACAACAACGATCTCCGGTACCGGTGCGCTCTCTCTCGCTCGCGCACACAAAATGGCTCGTTCCACACACACACAGAGCCGAGCTTTAATGAAACACAGAGACCCAGACGTAATAGTACTGTACTGTATCATATTATTTTCGAATCAGTAATTTTTCAAATAATGATTTCCTTTTTCTTTTATCTTTTTTTTTTTTTTTTAATAACCATTTTTCCTCCTGGTCTCTCTTTTATACATGAATATGTGTCCCTGGTGTGTCAGGGAACTCACCAAGTGTCAGAAAACACAACCCTCTCTATTTTCCTCCATACCCAAATCTCTAAAAAAGGGGCTGCAACGGATCTGATACAGACTGATCCAGATTTGAACACTGTCCTGACATCAGGACGGTGGCGCGACGGCTATTGGTCAATTCTCCACCTATCAGGGGAATGAGAGGTTGGGCCACGGCCGACCATTGCTGCTCGAAAGCGCTGGAGACGCTGTAGTACATATGCCAGGCCTGTAAGTGGCGCTGTAGTCTGCCACAAAAGCAGCGAAGAAGACTTCCCTTGCATGGTTGCCATGGTTGCCCTTCTGTTTATTCTCCGCTGTGGCTCTTTTTCTCCCTCCCCGAGGCAAGCGTTTGCGCCTCCTGCTTTAAAACAAATGAATAATGACTCTATATAATCATATGTAAGGGATAATGTGGAGCGACACGGTCATTATGGGGAACATAACACAGACAGGCTGATCGCCCGAAGCGGAGGGATCTAGATCGGCATGAAGGTGTTCTTTGCACATTATTATTATTCTGCACATTATCCCGCTTATTACATGGCCACATTCTCAACAAAGTAACAACATGATTCCCAATATTAATTGAAATGCTTTTATGGATTTAGAAAATTATTTTATTGATTTACAAAATAGTTGTATGTATTGATTTAAATTGACATGCATCCGCTAAGAAAAATAGTCCGTTGTTACTGTTTGAACTAACGTAGCAACGGCAGGAACTGCTTCAATAGTGTTTTTGAGGAGCTTTTTGATTACAGATTTGAAAACATCGTTGCTTGCTTTAAAAGTAGCACAATTCATTATGTCAAACCTTGGAAAGTATCTAGATATCCCTGCCCTAATGCCAAAGTAACTGCCAACTCCGCTCTCCTGCAGGGGGGCGTGGTCAGTTGCAGCTCACAGAATCAGCCCCCTGCAAAAACAAAAACAGGGCTGGAAAGAGCAAATAGAGTGAAATGAGGCATGGCTAAAATGCAGGATCTGTTTGTTATTTTGAATTTTTTTATATATTTATATACTTTATATAGGTATACCCTACAATACATGTTTCAAATATAGCATGATAGTTCCACTTTAAATACCAAAGCTTAAACATTCTCAAAACAGCTTCCATTTCACTTTCATTCACAGGACATAACATATGTAGGAACACGCTTGCTGAGTACAAAAGGATACGGCTGAACAAGAGGAAACAGCAAGCTACAGACATTCTTTAGCTGTAGACTAAGGAAGGAAGAGCACTGTGCTTGACACCAGAGAATGTATCACTAAACAGCACTTAAGACAGGAAGTCAAGATTATACAGAGACAATAGTTTTTACATAAGGAAGTAACTCAGCAGTCTGCATCATTGATGTTGCAGATGTAAGTGCGATGCAGCAGTGATCGTGGGAGTGAGATAACAAACAGTGCAGGAGAGATAAGGCATTACAAATTAGTCATCATTCAACAAACGTCAGGGCGAAAAGGCAAGAGGTAAGAGGAAAACTGCTTTTTGTAATTAGCAGGCTGTAACAGTTCCTTTTATTCCTTTAATGTTTGTTTGTGTGTGTGTGTGTGTGTGTGTGTGTGTGTGTGTGTGTGTGTGTGTGTGTGTGTGTGTGTGTGTGTGTGTGTGTGGGTGTGTGTGTGTGTGTGTGTGTGTGTGTGTGTGTGTGTGTTGTGTGTGTGTGTGTGTGTGTGTGGTGTGTGAGCTGACAGCAACAGCAGCTTGTTTAGCCTGGGAGGTCCCGATCACCTTTTTTTGCTCCCGATCTGATTCCGATCATTTGATTTTGACAATCTGCCGATACCGATTTTTCCCGATCCGATCTTTATGCAATGCATTAAGAGAGAAAAAAGGAAAAAAGCATTGAAGTTGTAAGGTTATGAAGGTTATTTTTTTAATTTAAATGACACTACCCAACTACCCATTCTATCCAACATGGATATAGCTTCTTTTTTTCACAGCAGCATTGGATCAAAACAAAATAAAGCTTATCAGTGGTCCACCACAAAATAACCATGTAAACAAATTGAGTGCAGATAGTGCAGTAACAAAACAAAAATAACTCTACTGGAAAGAGGTAGCTTGACTAGCTTCACAAGTTCACATTCAGTCACAAATAATAAAATAAAATAAAAATGTGGCTTAGTGCAGAATTCTAGCCTTAAGACTAACTAGTCTAGTATTAATGCAATGAACAACAGCAGCTTAACATAACATGAATAAACAAAGCATTATTTTTCCATCTTACTGAAGTAACACAATTCAATAGTAATCAGCAGCGAAACACGTGTATTTCGGTGTATTCACGGCATTCATTTTGTTATTCAACAGTATTGTTGTTTTATAGTTATTTGTTAATGTAACCCAATTTGTGTTCTTTGAAATTGAAACGGATATCGCATTGTGTGTGTTACTTTCGTTGCAGTTGTATGTCTTAAGTGTAATTTGGCTTGGCTTCCTATTTATGGACATGCTTTTATTTTGAAGGAGAGGTAGCGCTGTTGACAGGAAGTTGTTGTTGCTTTGGAAACAACGTGACGGAGAAAAGTAATATCTACATATAAAGGCGGAGAAAGTAAACGATAACGTTTATGGTTAAGTGTTAGCACCCCCGAACAAGCTCTTACGTTTATATTGGAGATTTCAATAAATTCAATTTGAAAAAAAACCGGGGAAAAAACAAACAAAACGAATATCCGAATAACGAAATTGAAACCCGAATAGTACTCTGAGTCCAACGAACGAATATTCGGATATTCGGGTACAGCCCTAGTGTACTTGTCGTGTTGTTTGTTTCTCAGGTGGCGTATTAGATTGGTCGTGTTGAACGTAGCTCTGTTCTTTCCACCACGCGGAACCTCCGCCTTGCAAACATTGCATCTGGCTGTTACACTGCCTTCGCTTTCAATTTTATAATACTTCCAAACTCCTGACATTTTCTCTGTCCCGAGTCACCAGCTGAACGTAGCCTCTCGTTGGCTTACTGCTACTATTAGACACTGCGCCCACTCTGTTGCCAGATTTGAGAGAAATAAGCAACCAGGTCTATGAAAACAAGCCCAAAAGAAGCAACACATACATGATGTTGTGTAATTTTAAACCAAAACTAAGGCCTCAGGATGACTTTAAGACGTGAACATGGTCATTTTTGTTTTGTAACATTAAATACAAATTATTAATAAAAAAAAATAAAAAAATAAATCTCGATTCCGATCTTTTGAAAATTACGTGATTGGCTCCGATCCCCGATCACGTGATCGGATCGGGACATCTCTAGCCTGAACGAAATACAGGAGAAGTCTTTCAACAATGGGAGACAAGCTTTCCTCGTGACTTGTGCTGGCTAACTGTTATCAAGCCCTGAAGCCTTATGAGAGGACTTTCTTAACTGGATTAAAGTGACACTTCTGATGAGTTTGTTTTTGGCAACATTGCAATGAAGCTACTCCCTTGACACCAGCGTAATATGGCAGACTCGTCCTAAATTGACTGCCTCAGCATCGCACACTTTCCAGCTATAAATGTAATTTTAAAGTTGTACTTCTTCCAAGCATGGTCCTATGTCCTCCAAAGAGTAATCAACAATAGTTTTAGGAAAGGAAGCTGGTGGAAGCTCTCTCTGGCAGAATGACAAGTTTCTTAGGAAATAATAATTTCCCTTAAGAAATTGTTTTATTGTGAAAACAGGAAGCACTTCTGTAAACTTGGAATATGATATTAGCCATGCACTTTCTTATTATCCTTCCTCCTCTCCCTCCTCTGAAATGTCAACAACATTGTTCCTCATTCAAGCTTTGTTCCAGAGGAAATGTGTGCAGACATGGTGAGACTGGAAAGGGAGTATAACACCATTGGTTACGTTTAATAATTACGTTTAATAATTATTCGTATGATTATATCTTTTTAGGAAAATAATCATGTACCAGTAGATTGCTGATAAAATATATACAAAGTCACATAATTTAAATGTGTGCTCTGAGATCCACCTTTTTCAAGTAATTTTTAAATTAACTTTACACTCTACATGTTCCGCACGATCAAATAATAAAAAAAGCTGATTGTTTGGACATTTAGGTTAAGCTAAAACAATATGTGAATGCAAGATTTACATTATTAATGTATAACTACTTTAGTTAATATGGGGAATTTCCTGAGAAAACTATTTTAGTTACTAGCCACATAACAAATAAGGCTGTTAATAATAATAATAATAATAATAATAATACATGGGACTTTTATAGCGCTTTTCATGAAACTCAAAGACTTTACTTTTTTTTCAGTTTTTTGTAGCAGCTTCCCAGAAAGAATATCCATAGCTGCTAAATGCGCCACTATTTTCACCACACACATGTACCTTTTAAACTTACCGTTCGTCAGTTATTTATCTGCGGTGCCACATACTGTACTTAAACAACATAGGTGTTGCCCAAAGGAAAAGGTATAAGTGTCAGTGACCTATTACCTAATGATCTTTCCTGTCTTTGTTCACTGATATACACTGATATAATGTTTCTTTGTCTGATTTGATGCCTTTCTGGCATTTCCTTAGACAGCCCTGCAGCCATTATCTTAGTGATTTAAGGTGGATGATTTGACAGGCAGCCTTTGGCCATCCCTCTTCTCTACTCGTATTGATTTCAATCATCTCGAATAGAGCTACATTCAGGGCAAACTGGGCTCAGACTGCGGCTGTCAGAGAAAAATGTAAAAAAGTCATTTTAAGGCATGCTTTGATGTTTAAAATAAGTGTTAATATAAAGAGTGCATACACTTCTGGCATTTGGTGAAAATAATTCCCGTCCAATGTAGGATGTGAGGCTCCCTTCTTTGATGTGACAGTTACGACTGGAAACCACTACACTCCCTTGCCACAATAAGTTTCCTGGAACAATGGTAGCTGGAAATGCATACATGTGTGTGTGTGTGTGTGTGTGTGTGTGTGTGTGTGTGTGTGTGTGTGTGTGTGTGTGTGTGTGTGTGTACCTAACAATACCTAACACTTTCAATGCTCAAAGTATTGATGTTTGCCCTTGTGTTTTTACGGGTTGGTGACCTTTGATGGAAAGATAATGGATGACACTTCCTAAGGCTTAGCGCTTTCTCCCACCAGGGGAAGGATCCCAAGTCATAGAGGTGTGAAAGCAAGGCCCTTTTCATCAGGAGTCAAACAACTCATTTGATGCACTATCACTAATGGACAGGGCTATCATTTATAAAGGATAATGCCTTTAAAAGGAACATCAGTGGAGGCTAATGATCTGACCGGCACTCTGTTAGAAGCAATCCTTTTGTTGGACGATATTAAGAATCATAGCTTTATGAGGTGCTTTCACTGATGTATGGTAGGCTTATTAAAGTAAGGTTGAAGGCTGAAAATATTCAAGAACTCTATTTGTCACAGGTACATTTACTATGAAAATGCATACAACAGTTGAATGCAAATACAGAAGGTCCCATTTGGGGTTTACTCCCCAACTTCAGCAACTTCCTGTCTTAACACGCAGAGCATGGCTTGTGTATCAGCTCTTCTGTTGAATATAAATACACCCCGGACCCATCTGGGATGATCCTCTCCCCTGTGAATTCCCACCGTTGCAAAAGTCAAAACATACACATAGATACTTCCTGCTTCCCCTCCCTCTAATCATGTCTTTCACTTCCTCACGCACATAATTATTAATCAGAAATCAGCATGCATGCAGGGTCCTCACCAAGTATGTTCACAGTAGACACACCCTCTTTGCTCTCATCACTGCTAGATTAGGGTCCCTAGCACCCTGTAAACAAAAGCATGAATCACTTGCAATACTCCTCAACTGCCTGACTGACATTCATGGATCACAGCTCCACTAAATCACAGTGGGTGAGTGCCCAGGGAGGCTAGAAGGCTAATAGAAACGGTCCATTAATACGAGAGGCCATTCCTTTACGTATAGTCAGAGATGATTGGAAGAAGCAGCCATATGGAAGGTGAAAACAACCATAAGACACGTTAGATAATTATAGTCAAGTCAATTTTGTTTATATAGCCCAATGTCCTATTTGCCTTTAATCTGCCAGGGGAGCACTTGTCTCCCCCCTTCTAGCATTGAGAGTAATTACCATATAGGAGAAACCATAGCCACAAAGTAGCAGCTACTGTATGAGTACTATCCCTCTCTGGAGTGAATGCTCATTATAAAAAAATAGGGATTTACAGCTTTCATTAAAAAAATATCAGAGCAATAATACTATAGCACCAAACGAAAATTAGCTATATAAAGATTTAGAGGAGCAATGGCATCCTGAGCAGAGAGGTGAAGTCACACTCCCGCTGTGTGTGTTGTAATCCAAGCTTCCCTTTTATTTTATTTGCATGCATGTGAGTGCCTCCCTTAGAAACTGTAGGTTGTACACCTCAAAATGAACTAAAAGAGAAAGGATCCCTCCCCCAGGAAGGACAAATATGCAATCATTGTGTGTTCAGAATAAAACAATATAAGCAGCG